CCCCCCCCCCCCGCCTCTCCCGTCCGTCTGTCTGTGATGGTAGGTGGCAGGGTCCCCAGTCCATCCAAGCGAGCACCGCTAACCATGGCCCTCCCTGTTTTCCAGGAAATCCTCGGAGGAACTGGACATGGACAAGGTGACAGCAGCAATGGTACTCACCAGCTTGTCCACAAGCCCTTTGGTTCGAAGCCCTCCTGTGCGGCCAAATGGTGAGCTGGGGTGAGGGGAGGAGGGGGACGGGCGTAAGGGCACCATGAGCACAGCCCCCCTTGGAGGGGTCTCATTCCTATCAAATGGAATGGACGATGAAGCCTTGCCGTGAGCAGGGACAGGGGCAGTATGGGGGACATGGAGACCCAGGGCCAGCTTCCTCACCTTCCCAGAGACACCAGTCACCCCTCCCCCCGCTCCCGCACATCCCGTTCCAGGGCACTTACCTGCAGCGACTGTCCCTTTCCCAGGAAATGGAGCTCTTTCCCGGCATTATTTCTGTTCCACAGGAGCAGTAGTTGGGTCGAAAAACTCCGAAGACTTTTGCAAAGGCCTTATCCCAGACTCTGTAGTCAAATACAATGATTTAGTCCGGTTATTCACTCAGTATGCACTTACTAGGTGCTGTGCTAGGTGGTGTGAGTGCATCGCTGCAAACAACACCCGTATTCCGTGCAGCTCGGTCTCTTGGGGAAAGGCTCTGTCACAGCCTCGTCAATGGCAGCACTTCCTGAGCCCTTGCTCCCTGCCAGGTGCGAGGCTTGCTCTGCCACGTCATTCTCACAACTCTGTGGCTGTCACTGTCGCTATTTTACAGATGAGTGGATGGAGGCCCGTGGGATTAATTGACTTGTAAATGGCAAAGCTGAAATTCCCTCCTGTATCCTCCAACTCCGGGTCCATCAGCTTAGTCATGGCTACTGTGGGCCCACTAACTCACTGTGAGAAACCAGGAGAGCCGCAGGCGGTGACGGAGGCCTGGCCAGGAGCACGGACGTGAGTCCGAGGCTGCAGGAGAGCTGTGACGTGGCTTCGGCACCGGACAGTCACAGCTGGGCTTGCAGACAAAAACAAAAAGAAACAGCAACAGCAACAAAAACCCTGTGGCTGTCCCGAACCTTGGTGGTCCCAGAGGGGACGGATAGGACCTTAACCAAGAAATGTGAGGAAGGAGGAGCCAACAGGACGTGGTGATGGACACAAGGGATGGAGGAGGGGGAGTGCCAGGGTGCCCCCCAGGCAGTCGGGGCGTCAGCAGGAGGCCTGCCCCCGAGATGGTCCACACATAAGTTGGAGGAGCACGTCTGTCAGTGAGTGTTTGGGCAAGAGCTGGGTTCACTGGAGACAACAGCAGGCCAGGTGGAAGCGAGTGTCGTGGCAGCACTGCGGCTCATTCGAGGGCAGCGGCTGGGGAGGTCTGGGCTGCTGCGCAGAAGCCATGAGGGGAGGGGAGATCGCTGAGAGTCCTGTGGAGGCGGGGAGCGAAGACTGGGAGGGGATTGTGGCGTGGGGTGAGGCCCGCCCTCACTTCAGGGACCCAGAGGGAAGAGCCTGAGGGGGACCAGCGGTCAGGAGAGGGGAGAATGTGGGTTCCTGGAAGCCGAGGGAAAAGCGATGTTCAAGGACAGACGTCTGATGCTTCAGAAGCTCAAGCATGAAACAGGCTGGATTCCGCATCCAGACAAAGGCACTGATCCCTGGCAAGAGCGCACGGTGGACCACCCGGGGGCGGGAGTGGGCTGAAATGAACATGAGCCCCCGGAGGGGAAGTTACTGCAAGGGGACCCCTTCTCTCAAAAGCCAGCCTGGCTAGTTAGGAGGCTGAGGTATGGCCCACACAGAAGTCGGAGGGAAGCGCCAGGTGAGAAAATAAAGCTGTCGAACATCCAGTGAGCCCTCACCAAAACCTACTCCCCTCCAGTTGTCGGTGCGAAGAATGATGGAGGTGCCGGGAAGTTAAATCCATACCGTCCACAGCAGTGCCCCCTGCCCTCACCACCCCGCACGCGGTGATGCCACCGCAGCACGCTGAGCGGGGAGGTGCTGGGAGGGGCCTGGCGTTGCTGCGGAAGGACAGCCCTCTCTGCCGGGCCTCTAACTGCCCCCTGGCTCCCGCTGCTCAGTGTGGCGAGGCCCCTGAGGAAGACTGCAGAGAAGGCAAAACTGAAGACACCCCAAACCAACCCCAGGGGAAAGGAGTTGCATAAAAGATTGAAGAGTTCATAGAGAAAAAAATTCCTCAAGGTTACAGACAAGTATTTGTCCCAAGCTGGGCCACCAAATGCAAATAAACTGTAGATTCTCATTATTTTACAGAAAAGGGGGGAAAAAAGGAACTGCAGAATGTCAGAGACCCCTCAGAGAAGAAAGAGTATATTTTAATGCAATCAGTATTTTTCCATGGCATTCTCTTTTAATTGAGAACATTTTTAATGCTCCTTTGTCTTGAAAGGTTAGAATCAAAATAAACCTTTTGCTCCTGCAACACAGACCTTTGTTGGCATAGTTATATGGAAAGGAATTCACTGTTCATTATGATTTCAAAAAATAACTATCCAATTTAGAATCCCAAATTGTCTGCTAGCTCCTTAGGTCTGCAACAGGCAGCAAATTCTTAACGAGGGAAAGCAGTTAATGATAATGAAGGTGTTGGTTAATTTAAAAAATAGACATATGTCTGGAATTATTGTATATCATTGGATTTTTTAAAACTGTTGTGATTCCTTTTGTGCCTAAAAAGGATCATTTTGTCAGGAAGTGGGTCTGCAAAGAGGGTGAGCTTCCTGCAGGGCCTGTCTGCATTTCACCAAATACGTGTGTCAGGGAAGGAGACGCGGCCATCTATGTGTCTTGAACTGGTTCTGACTTTTTCTGAAAAATTCATTTCTACATCACATTGCCCTTCTTATTGAATAGTGTTTCTTAAAGGAAATGTCATTCCCAAGTCAGCAACTGAGCTGTGGGCATTGACATGAGGCAATGCGACACACTGCTTTTCAAAATAAATTGTTGCTTTTCAAAATCAGTTCAGGCCCCAATCATCTCCCCCGCTCTGCGCCGTCACTTACCCTGTCACCCCGCTGGCACCACACACGGACCGCATGAGTGTGCTGTGCTGTATTATACGCCTCCTAAGCCGCCGAGGCGTGTGCCCCCCCCCCCGCCTTGCCCCCAGAGGCCTCGGAAGGACCTGTGGACACAGCTGTCGCATCTGAAAGGCTCTCGGGCCGGTGAGCACTGTCCGGTGGCCTGCAGGGAGGGAGATGCTAACTTGGTTTTGCTGGTGCCAGAAAGGCTTGATCCTGCAGAAATGACCATTTGATGGGGTAGAGCCTCGCTTTAGTGAGATGGGTAACTTTCTTCCACGATTTCAGCTTAAAACTTCATTCCTCTAACTGAACGTTTGGCTTGACACAGTTGAGGAATATGCTGGAAATCTGTGAGTGGGTGAAGGTAGTCAAGACATTTTTCCACGAATGCTGGCCCATTGTGTGTCTTCACTTCGTTACTAATTACACCAATGTTTACAGCATAATGAGACATTTTGAGATTCCCGCCCCCCCTTGAACTTAAAATATAGTTTTAATGTATTCAAAATGCACATAAACATGGAGGAGAAATTATCCAACAAGAAGGTCAAGTCTATAAGGAGCCTCCCACGGCGTTCTAACCGGACAAAGATCTATCACTTTAGCAAATGTTTCCTGTTTCCCTGCAAGTGCAAAGGAAGAATTCAACAGCCGTCTTATCAGTAAATATTGCCCATAAATTCTCCTCTGACCTCAGCTTGTTGGAAAGAGAGGAGGATTCCTACCACACGGGGCCATGCCCTGAAGGAGAAAGAAGCCAACTGATAGACCAGGGTCTGGGCTCTGGTCCACTACTGGTTCCGTGGCAAGTCAGGTGCTTGTCTGTAAAACCCGCGTGGCCGTCCTTGCTCTGAGAGACAGATGTTGTGAGGATGGACGGGCCTGTGTGAATGAGTTTTGTGAGATGGAAAACAAGAAATGCAAGGCACTGTTATTTCCTATAATGTTATTTCTCTTAGACTCTTACATCTGGGACTAACTTTTCCACAAACCTATTCCAAAGATCTCAGACCTATATGAGAAACACGGGTTAGGGGAGGGGGACAATATTGCAAATGATTTCCCTCTTAGAAACACCAATAAACTCAGAGCTCCCCAAACTTAGTGAACAAGGGCGTCTTTTTCTTTCTTGTTTTCATATCCCCTCCACTGTCATCCCAAAACCACCCACATCAGAGAGCTGTTAGGAAAGCCTGTCATGGGATAAAATAGCTCAGTGTTTATAAGGGGTAATGCACCTCTCTTCCCAAGGTATGTGTAGTGCATCCCCAGCTGTTGCACATTTCTGGAGGGGGCGGGGGGGCTGCAGGTGCTGACCCCGGCCCCTGCACCCTGCCGCACTGACGCTGGTTGTCTGGCTCGCAGAGGGCATGAGCGGATCCTGGAAGGAGGGCGGTGCCCCGTCCAGCAGCTGCAGCAGCGGCTACTGGAGCTGGAGCGCCCCCAGCGACCAGTCCAACCCGTCCACACCGTCGCCGCCGCTGTCCGCCGACTGCGCCAAGCCCTTCCGCAGCCCCGCGCCCGACGACGGCATCGACGAGGCCGAGGCCGGCAGCCTGCTCTTCGACGAGCCCATCCCCAGGAAGAGAAAGGTCAGCCTCTCCCGCTCCTTTTCTGAGGGCCCAGGATACCCCCAGGGCCTGGTCAGGGCAGAACCACCCAGTGTGGGCACCCACCCACATGGACAGAGGTGCCCACCGTTGACCAGGGTTTGAAAGCTACAGAAGAGCATGTCAGGTGTGGGTTGGTGCCTCACTCACTCACTTCCTGGGACTACGGTTTTCACCTGTAAAATACAAACAACTCCCTTTTCTATGTTCTGCTTCAAAAACATATTGGAAGAATTTTTGTCTTATGTTCATAAAACCGGCTGTGAAACATGCAGGAAAGCTGCCCAGCCAGGCCAGGGTGGCTGAGCTCCTCCCACGCACTGAGGGGTTGCTGGTTCCGTTCCCAGTCAGGGCACATGCCTGGGGTAGGGGCTTGATCCCCGATAGGGGAGCATTCGGAAGCCAACCGATACCTGTTTCTCTCTCACATCAATAGAAACATGTCCTCTCTAAGCATGTCCTCGGGTGAGGGTAAAAAAAAGAAGGAGAAGAAAGCTGACACATAAACGCATGTATGTACTGACAGACCAAAAACCGGTTTACTAAACTAAACCTGAAAAAGAGCTCTAATAAACTGATTTAATGCATTGATTACACATTTAATCTTCACAGCTGTCCTGTCTGGTAAGTACCTTATTTTTTTTTTATTCTCACCAGAGAATATTTTTTCCATTGATTTCTAGAGAGAGTGGAATGGAAGGAGAGAGAGAGAGAAACATTGATATGAGAAAGACACTGAGCCACATGGGTCAGGGCTCACGTTATTTTTTGATGGCCATGTCGGTTGCCTCCCGCATGTGCCCCTGCCAGGACTGCGGAACCTGCAACCCAGGTACAGGCCCTTAACTGGGAATTGAACCCAAGACCCTTCGGTGCGAGGGCCAACACGTTAACCACAGAGCAACCAGCCAGGGCCGGTAGGTATCATTCTCCCAACTTGGTATGAGGCAATTGAGGATCGGGGAGATTAGACGTTGAGCTTGCCTTGTCCTGAGGATAGAAGGGCCAGGCCCGCCACTCAAACCCAGGTCTGCCCGAACCTAAAGCTCATATTCTTTCCCTCCTCTTGGTGTGTATTTACACCGTCATGACCACTCACAATTTTCCAAAAGATTTCACTTTGTAGGATGAAGCGATCTGCTGCTACATCTCAAATACCTTTTCACATTTTTTAAAAAAAATAAATTTTATTGCTTTTTACAGAGAGGGAGAGGGATAGAGAGTTAGAAACATCAATGAGAGAGAAACATCGACCACCCGCTTCCTGCACACCCTACAGGTACTTGCCCTTGACCGGAATCGAACCTGGGACTCTTCAGTCCGCAGGCCGACGCTCTATCCACTGAGCCACATGGGTCAGGGCTCACGTTATTTTTTGATGGCCATGTCCGAGTGAGGCTGCTACTTTATATATTTGTCCTTTAAGCAGTTCTCAGTAGCTTCATTGGGAATCACTATTCACAAACAAACACCCAAAGCAAAACCCTGAGGACTGCCAAGCAACCTCTTCCCCCCAATTTATTTCCAAGAGGAAAACACGAAGCCGGCATCGACCCATCGATGCCATCAACCCCAGCATCGATCCTTCCGTCTCCGCTCTGTCCCCTGCATGTGCTGCTGTGAAGGCTGCGGGCTCCCTACCCAGAGAGCCGGGGAGAAAGGAGCGCCTGCCTCCGGAGGCGGCGGGTGAAGATGCTGCTCCCACCAACCACCAGGCAGCGTCTGTGTTCGCCTGACCGGTCAGCGAGCCACCAGGCGGCGATGGGGACTGAAGGGCCATGCTAGTGCATCAGGCTTTCTCTGGGGTCATCTGAGTGCGTGGCCCCGGCTGTCTTCAGAGGTGGCCGGCGTGGGGGCCGGACTCCGTGCCCTGCTGACAGCAGCTTAATGGGCTGAGGATAAACAGCACTTCATTCCTGAGCTGAGAGACTGCGGTGCGTCGTACACGATCAGGGCATCGTTTCTCGGCGCCTCTGTCTCGCTTGTTCGCTGGTGTCTGTGCTGTGCATAGGGAGCTGCTGTGGCTCGTGGGCAAAACGCGTGGGGAGAGAACAGGATCCGTGGGACAGGGAGGGGCCCTGATCAGAAGTCGCAGGAGCCCCGTGCTCAGCTCAACTTTGCTACCCTGCAAACTTCAGAAAATCATTTCCCTTCTCTGACCATCGACTTCTTCATCTGCAACACAAACTAACAGCAGTTACCAACCCTCGGCCGGGACATCATGAAGAGTCAGAGTGACCGTGCATTTCAGGTCTCTGTGCCCCTGAAGCCCCGCCCCCGTGGCAGATACACGGTAATGGGCACGGCAGGGCCCCTCACAAAGGGCGGCGCACGCCTGGATCTGACGATGACGCTGAGCCGGCCTTCCTCCCGCCTCCCTCGCAGGCGGCATGGCCGGGGCCACCCTACCCGTGCACGTGGGAGATCCTCGCGTCAGAGGGAGAGCGCCAAGTTAACTGCCAGCTGCGCAGGAGCAATCAGTGAACGGACCACGTCTGCCTTTCACACCCAGAAAGCGTGACTCGCTCTAAAGTGGGAAAGTCGGCGAGGCCCCCGCAGGAGCGAGCCCCCGTCCACCGGCTGCGTTCCTCATGCCCGCTGAGCACAGTGCATGGGCAGGAAACCCGCTGCCCCAGGAACAGGCCCATCGGGAGGACCAGGCGGCTGCCAGGAAAGCAGCTCCATCCCTCCCGGTGGATGACCGCCCTCCAGCCAGAGCCAGGAGGACAGAGGAGGGAGGTCACTGAGCCTGTGCCGCAGAGTGATGGGCCTCCCACCTGAGGCGCTGAGGACGGTGCCGTGAGCTCACCTGTGCTCCTTCCTCTGGGGCCCTGGTCCTCCTGTCTGAGCCTCCATCCCCAGCACACATGTTCACACGTACACACACACACACACACACACACACGCACGCACCCTCATCGCCGTGTGCACACACCTCAGGGTCCTCTAACCCCGGCAGCTCTGGGCAGACTGGCCCAGGGATGAGTGTGGACCGTCAGGATACAGCTGGGCCCACCCGCTGGGAACTGAGGGGACCGTGGCCTTTGTCAGTCCTGTGTGTCAGCCTGGGTCTGTCGGGAAAGCGGACGCCACTCCAGGAATCCCGTGTGGGTGACAGTTCACAGCAGGCGGAGGCCTCAGGGGAGAGCGAGGCAGCCCGGCCGCCTGGCCCCCAGGACAGTGTCAGGGACGGCCAGAGTGTCTGCAGCGATGGAGA